ATGAAACATTTCCAAACAATTATGTGAATTATAAGAATTGAAATTACAGTAAAAACTGTGATATTTTTGGATCACTATTAGTGGTTCCACTCATTCGACAACTTTTTCGTCGATTATATATCCAATTGATAGTTAATTTTTGTTATTTTCATTTTGAATATTGTCGTCAAATTAAGTTATTTCTCACATTCTTTGCCAACGAATGAAACATTTGTTAATATTATTATTCTTTAGTTGTTATTAATTTTAGACTTAATTTTCAATTTCTTTGTCCATTCCTTAACGTCTGATAATGTGTTCCCAATAAATGTATTGATTTTCACGATTCCTTCTTATTTTTTGCGGAATTACTTATAATTTAAAACCATTTGTTGTTAATTTAAATTCTGTATTAAATTTAGTTTTAGATTGGAATAGATTCTACAGGTTTATAAATTTACTAATTTTTTAAAATGTACTAAACAAAATATATTTTATCAAAAAATAATCTTACAGCCAATTAATGTCTATTTTTAAGAGAATTGTAAATATTGTCTTAACATTTTTGATATCTTTTATATAAATTACACAATAACTGAAAAATCATTTCGAAAATAAATCAATTGTCAAATATTGTGCCATTATTTTCAATCAATAAAAAAGTAATTTAATATAATTATTGTGATTTATTGCTATTTTGTGGTCGAAAAGCGTTTGCAATCAGCGTTTGAAAAATTGTGAAAATATTCAAACAATGAATTAATTTTTATTGAATGAAATATTACCGGTATTAGGATTTACTTTAAAAGACTTTATTGTATAACAATGTTTATTCAATTTTATTGATACTTTTTAATTGAAACCTTTGGACTCGAATGAAGATAAACATTAACATTGATGACATCGATGATGACTACTATCCTAATGAATGTCACAAATGTTGTGTGTCTTTGTGGTAATATCTCATGAAAACCTACTCACCGGATATTAAGAGGACACAACACTTAACAATATATTTCAATGAATGCTATCAATATTTAGCATTTAATAAAAATCATTAAATTCAAATATGATATATGACTGTGAACATGAATTTAAATGTTGACAACTCATACACTTAATGACTTGAATACAGACGTCTAGAGATAAAAATGATTATATCATTCATTTCTTATTACAAACACTACTTTATTAATAAAAGTAACTGATTTGTCATTAGTTATAAACTCATTATAAAACACAATTTTGTTCATACAGTATCTCTTTTAAGTTTATTATTTTCACAAAAGATAAATATTTAGTTTCTATTGTTTTAGACTAACGTTCAGTCAAATGTGTTATTTTATATGAATTTGATTATGAATTGGAAATGAATTAAATTATAAAATGAAAATAATAGAGATTTACTTATATATCTATTTAATTAAAATTGATTAGAATTATAGAAATTAAGTAATTTATCAAAACATATAATAAAAATACTAAGGATTTTGTATTAATGAGTAAATCATGCCATAGAGATAGTAGAAGAATGAGAGCAAATAGAAGCCCAGTTTGATCCAACCCTCGCGCATGGCTCGCGACAACTGATCCGCATTCATGATAGTCGTCGGGTCGTACAGTCCCGGACCAGACATTATGGGACGCGTCTTATATCTGACACCAAATCAATACATTCACTCGTTTAGCACTTTCTCATACCTCATACAACTCATTGACACTCAGATAGACAGACAGATAGACAGATAGACAGACAGACAGACCTATAGATGTGATACGCGATGAGCGGTGCGTTCAGCAGAAGTGTTAACCTATTATCCAAATCAACACTCAATTGAGACAAACAAAAGACAAACTCATTATCTCTTCATTCATACCATTCGCCGGCGATTAAGAACAAGACATTGAACGCCAAGTGAACGCCATATTCGGGTAAAACCAACTGTTGGTCACAAAACAAGACATTATAAGCATGTGATGATAATTGTGGTGACAATTAATGTAATACTGGATTCAATGTATTGCACTGATCGATGGGATTCTTGAAGTCAGTCTTGAGCTCATCGAAAGCGATCACCTGTTCGTACAAATGACTCAATCATTAAATGACTTCAATTGTTACCATTTCTTACGTGAAAGACAGCGAAGAATATGAGGAAAGCGTCTAAAATAAGACCAGAGATATAGGAAAAGGCGGCGAATGTGAAGGACATCTCAGATGAAACACCTCTTCTGATCCAACGGACACTCTATTGTTAGGAAACTTGATATTTTGCGGACAATCACTCGGATTTCAGATCAAATCAGACAAACAGATGGTCTGATAATCAAACTCCAGAAGTGATTCAAATGACTATCAAATCGATGATTAACTGCAAAATCAAATGAATTGTAATTTCCTTCAAATTTCTGCTTTTTATCGCAATTCAAGTCAAAACACAAATCATTCAAATAAAGCGTTACTTTCGTTGAGAGAAGTATTAGTAAACAAATGAGTGATGAGTGGGAGAGAGAGAGAGAGAGAGAGAGAGAGTGAGTGAGTGAGTGACTGTCAGTGAGTGCAGTGTTGGCTGAGTGTGTGTGCAGTGAATGACAACAAAATGCAATTGAAGTGCAATCTGAAGACATCTTGCGTCTCATGTGTGGTCTGATTGGTGTCCATCACTTCCAGTACTTCATAAGAGCCAAGAGATGGCCAAAAGCGGACGAAAGAAGCGCTTCAGAAGACAGAGCTTTAAGAAGTTGTTGAAGGAGTCGGTGGACGTCGGGCTGCCCTTCACTGACCTGTTGTTCAAAGCGGAGGACAAGTCAGTGGCCGTCACTTCGCAATACAGGACACAACTGGACGTCGGGAGGATTGTGTGGAAGAGACCCAAAGAGTTGGTCGACATTCCGAACCTCATCTACAGAGAGAAGTTAGGACCGGCACAAGAGGTGGAGTTCGTGGGCCACGGACCCAA